CATATAATAATGTACGTTTAAAAGGCCCATTTCAGCGCCGGTTTAAGCAATGTACGTTTTGCTCGGTGCTTATGAGTTACGTTGCAGGCAGGTGGGTATAAGTGTTGTCTCGAGAGTTTAAGATCATTACACCTGTCTTCTTCTGAGCAGTGTAAGAATGTACATTATCTTCCAGGTCAACAAAAGGATGCGTTGCAGAAGCTAATTTCTTATAGCCCTGGTACTTCAACTCCACTTGACCACCAGGGAAAAACTTCATAAGCTTTTCAAGCTTCACTTGCTGCTTTGTCCCTAGGCAGAGTTGTCTGCCTCCAGTTCAGCAAGAAGTACAGGGGCTTGAATGCCATTTTTAGCAGACCCCTCTGTGGCTCCGAGGGATTTGGGACACAAAGATACCAACATGCTTTGATTTCTGTTGCTCAGTAAACATTTGGTTACACTGACATAAAAAGAAATACTTAAAAATTAGTGCTGCATGTATGTTCACCTGAGTCTAGTTTGTATGGATTTCTGAAGCAGATTATCACAGTAACAAAGATTGACACATCCTTTTTCTGTGTTATTACATAGAACTCAAGTTTTTCTTAAAAATACAGTCTTTTATGACCCAAATAGCTTCCATCTCAATAGCACAATAGCTACAGTGGAAACATGTCTAAAAGATCCTTGAACTCTGAGAAAGCATCTACTATCTTTCCGTATGGTGACATTCCCCTGTGTCCTCATAAGTAACAGTTTGGATTGATAACCATCCACTTCTGTTTAATGGCTTATCATCAGTCAAGCTTAAAGAAAAATATTTAGGTTAGTCTGGCTTGCTAACAGGGCCCAGTCTAGTTTTCTCTGAGCTCTGTGGTGAAACCCGTGTCTTAAATGGTATGGGAGCAAGGTCTTCCTTCCAGGGCTGAAGATCTTCGAGGGCGTGTTGCAAAGAACTACCTGACTTTGCCACTTATTAAGGAGTGATTATTTTTCTTCACTCTTGAGCCTCAGGTTTCTCTTCTTTTGCAAGCTCAAAGCACCTCAGTGTATTGTGGCACAGGTGAGATAAATCCAGGTGTAGTATAGTCTGTTCTCTGTAATATCCATTAGCTTTTTCCCCTGTGTCTTTTTTTAACTCATTACACCTTCACCCAGACGATGCGTATGTATCCCAAGGATGCTTCATGTGGCATGTGCATGACTGTGCTGTTACCACCAATAATGACATAATCGGAATTTCCCACATGAGTAAACAGTAGCGGGTAGGAACCTACAGTTTGTTAGACCCTTTAAAAAGATCTGTTAGCAAGCCAAATTACATTAGCCATTATTAGATTATACTCTAGGATACTGTGCAGGAGAAGCAAAAGGAGAACTCTTGTTTCCATCCTACAGACTCAGAGGTGAGTCTTATGACAAGGCTATTAAGTTCAAAACTGGAATAGGTACAGAGGAGGTACCACTGCAGTGATCAGGAGAATGAAGGAGAGTGTTGCAAAAGGATATTCTAAGAGGTGGGTATGTTTGGCTGTGAAAACAAAGGCAAGTTTTTGCTCTTTAAAAGTACATAGGAAGATAAACACTTGGAAAAAAGAAACATTTAAGCTAAAGAACAGTGCTGACCTCAAAATAACTGGCTATATATCTACTTAGGTAAGTAAGCTAAATAAAATAAGAGATTTCGAACCAACATTGGAAGGATGTATTTGATCAGCAAACCAAGAGAAGACACAGTGTGACCGAAAATGTAACTCAGTTTTAAGTAGAGCTTGCTGTGTGCTCAAGGGAGATTAAAGACCATAAGTTGTCTGTAACGGAGAGCAAATGGTCTGAAGGACTGCTGAAATCTGTTCCAGGTGTGTATTTATTCTGCAGTTGCAGCTCATCACTATCCCTTTAAGAGTCTATAGAATCTGAAGAAAACTCTTGTGATGCGTCTTGACCAAGCTCATATATGCTCTAAAAACCTTTCCTTTTTTATTTTCTATACCAAATTATGATAGAAAACTTTAAACTTAAAATCTGGGTTACATTTTATTGCTTCTTTGGAATTATTGCACATGTGTTCATGTCCATATAAATGGCCTTTCTGAAAACAATCTTTTCAGCCCTGAAAATATTTTATTTCCATTCTCACTTGAGTTTTTAATCTTTTTTTTCTCTTTTCATAAAAAGCTACACCTTCATTTTCAATTTTTAGTTCAAAAAAATAATTATCCTGTTGTTACTTTTTTGACAGCGAGAAGAATACATTGCAGATGAAACACATATTTTATTCTATTTTAACTGTTTGTGTTTCTCTAATTGCAAGAAAAATTCAATGATGATCTTTTTACAGACTGATAAATATTTTAGCACAGATTTTCTGTTGGAAAGAAAAAAACAACATCCAAGTGAAAGGTACAAGATTGGCAGGCTTGTGTCTTGTCTCCACAAAGCTTTTCTTCCCCTTAAAAAGTCTTGCTGTTGCTAGCATCAGTGTCTCTCCGTCCAAATGCATTTGTTAAGCAGTCAGTAAATGATTAAGGAACTGGAGGGACTGATTTATGGAGCAAAATTAATTGAACTAAATATGCATCTCTCCATGAAGTGACAACTGGGAAGTGTGGGAGAACATGATAGAGCTGTCTGCAGCTACTAGGGGTGTAAACAGCAAGAAGAGAAAAGGATACACAGCTAGGTAGAGTTCTGGTTTTTGTGACCCAAATTGCATGCATCTCTTTGAGTAAGTGCTAAGGGATAAAAATCCTGTGCGTGTCCCTCAGAAAACCTGCACCAGGGATTGCTCAGCATAGTGCAAATACTGGTAAATACTATAAAGCTACTAAATACCGTAGTATTTTATGAATACTACAAACCCTAATGGAGCGAAATGGAAAATTAGGGAACACTCAGGTGGGAGTCTCAAGGAGAATGGAAAACTTCCTCGCAGCAAGATGTCTTAGTCTGAAGAATCATCTTCCAAGGAAAATCACAGGCAAGAGCCACTTCCTGGAAATCCTTAGGATTAAATTGACCACAGTACACTGAAAGTATGGTGCTTCAATAAGAATTCCTGAAATGGGCCCTTTTGCTTCCAATTTCTGTGATTCTGTGGAGGGACCCACCTGAAGATAATTTTACAAAATCTGTCTTAGTCAGCCTGCCACAGCCGTTCCATTAGCAGCCGGACTCTGCTCTTAGGCCTTTGGTAGAGCCCAGTGTGCTTGTAGGCATGGCCTTCATTGGAGCCTCTTACTCCAAATCCTTAAGATTTCCCTTTTATTTTGAGTCCTAGAACTTTAAGCAGTAAAGGAAAAATGCTGACTACCAGAGAGTTATCCGGCACCACAGCCGGGCATTTTCCCATGATGTGGCTGAATTTGTGGCACTGTGGTGCTTCACCATTTCCACTCACGTGTCTTGGCTCAGCTGGAGCCACTGCTGATAGAATCGCGAGCATCGGATTGAGAGTTAGTCATGCAGAGGATTTCCCAGCAAATCCCATTTCCTCTGACACTGGCAAAACAGCCCCGCGTGCTCCGTTAGGCTTTAGATGGGAAATAGGGCTGCCCAGTGACTCTGCTGAAAGGCAGAATTTCGCTTTAGTTGCAGACATGTTCTAGCCCATCGAGGCAAGTACCCTGCTGGTTATCTATCCCACCAGTTTACAGAGAGCCACGTGCCTTGATTTCCTCCCAGCTTCAACGTTCAGATGAAGGACAGGATTTTACCCACTTCTAGCTCCTTTGTCTAGTAGCTCCAACCCTAGTTTGCAAGTTTGAGCTTCATCCAAAAGTATTTCTAAGTGGAACAAAAATAAACATGCTTTTAAATATTTTATGTTCATACTTTAAGGGAGATTGACACGTTTTGAAGAGGAAAGCAGCCTACAACACCTAAATTAAAAATAAATATTTATGCTCACATTTGTTCATCAGCTTTCCAAAATGTAAAAATATGTTTCATGTTGTTTTAAATAATGAAATGTGAAACAAATGAAAGATAAACTTTCTACAAGCTGCAAAGAAATAAGAAGACAAAGGCTTTGTTTATAGCTTAGACTTCAACAGTGCCCTTTGACAACCAATGCAAATCTTAATTACAAATGGAATTATACATATAAGAACTGTTCAAAACAAAGGAGTATTTTTTTCCCTCCCTCTGGTTTTCTTTGTGATAGTTTTAATTAGCTGCAACTCTTTGAACAGTCATAGTCCTTGGCTGCTACTCAGACACTGATGGAAGTTGTTAACTTCAAATGGCATCTGTAGGACTACTCAAGTCTGGATTTTCCTTTGCGCAGCCTGCTCCCCATTGCTAAATTTATTCCTGGATATATTAGGATTCTGCATACATAGCACTTAATTGAGAAGTAAGTGTTGTCTGATAACATTCTAGTGACTGACACTGGGACACAATAAATTGAATTAATAGGCCGCAGCACCCTGGCCACACTGGGACAACTTTAATGGACTTCTGTAATGAAAGAAGCAGCAACAGGGCAAATGAATTTTGAAGAATAACACAGGCAAGTCACACGGCAAAAGGATCATTAGAACTAATGGCCAGCCATACATAGCATTTTGCTCACGCTAAGCGGGAACCTCGTCTTCCAAACAAGTGGGGAGTGGGAAGAAAAAAGCAAGTGGCAGTGAGGAAGCTGCCAAACTTCCAGAAATGCTGGTTCGCATGCGGTAGTTGGGATCTGTGTCTTGAGCTGAGCGGCGGGAGCCTTCGTTCACGGGAGCGACACGTGTGGCCTGGGTTGGTACGTTGTCCGTGTGGGGGAGACGGCACCCATGGGCTTCACAGGATGGGGACTGGAAGCTGCACGGTCCTAAAGGAAGGTGTTTGTGGGGTGGGATGTGGTCGCTGCCTCCCACCGCTGTGGAAAGTTTGTATGTTAGTGCAAACTGGTGGGGAAATGCGTCAAAGAAATCGAACATTATTCAGAACTTCTTTAACGTAGACTAATACCCTTTAGGATATCCAATTAAATAAGGAACCCTGAAAGGCAGCTATTATCAGGATTTTTTTTATTTGGCAAAACATGTTTCTGCATTTTACTTCTCGGTGTTTATTAAGCATAAATTATGCCACGGAAATAAAGTGAAATGTCTTAGAATATATATAAAGCTAAATTAATGAAATGCATCTAATCTTTCCAATAGCGATATTGCTGCGCCCATCTCTCATCTATTCACTGAAATTCGGACAACCTGTGCCGAGTCTCAGGCAGCACCATTCTGATCTCTCGCAGAGGGGGCAATATGGCTGATGCAGATGTATGCTTAGAGGAAAGGGCACTTACCTCTAGCTTTGCCTTTCAAACTTCTTTTTCTAAAGACAGTTCAGTATTAATGGTAGCGTAATAGTGGGTGCACTGTAAGAATAGGTGCAAGGCTTTCCTTTTTTTTTTTTTTTTTTTTTGCCTTGTGATATTCTCTCATTTTGTTCACATTTCCTTGTCATTTCTAAAGAAAAACAAAATCACATTATTGACCTGGATTTGCCAATTGTAGCTGTTTATTAACTACCAGTTATATTGCAGTGGCATTTGGCAGCTTCATGATTTTCCAAACCTGGCTGTATAGGAAACTGAAGGGAAAGACAAGCAAAATGCTCATAAAAGCCTACACATAGCACCTGGGATAAATTGGCCAAATGTGTATATGTCCATTAGAAAAAGCAAAACAAAAAAAAAAAAGAAGAAAAAGAAAAGAGTTTTTGATTTTTACTTCTGAATAAATTAAAACAAGATCTTAAAATAATAATCCTTACTCTTTATGCTACTCATTAATATCTCTCGATTTTTTCCTTTTGGGGGCAGAGGAGTAAAAAAAATATTTGTTTATAAAAAAGAAACATCTGTACCTATTAAAACATATATTGGATGTGATCCTCAGCTCGCATAAAAGCAGTACAGCTCTCCAACTTGTATTTCTGCACTCTAACTTGGAAAACAGATTCTTTCTACCAGATTCTTATTCCTAAAACCTTTTAAATTGAAATGCCCCCTTAACTTGAAGTATAACTGTGCTGTGTTTTGCAAGAGATTTTTAAATTTTTGACGTAGTGAATATCTTCTTTTTTTCTTCCTTCCAAAGCAAAGAACCGTGGGATTGCAATTCCAGTGGATTTGGACAGCCAGGTCAACACCTTGTTCATGAAGAGTCACTCTAACATGGTGCAGAGAGCAGCCATGGGGTGGAGGATGTCAGCCCGCAGTGGACCTCGTTTCAAAGAAGCTCTTGGTGGGCCTGCCTGGGATTACAGGAATATAATAGAAAAGCTGCAGGTACAAAATATCAAATATCCTGGGAACTAGCTGTAGCAGAGCATTTATCTGATATGTGACAGATGTGCAAAACACCAGATACAGTGCACAGATTGTGCTTTTAGTGTTGGATCACAGTGAATCTTGGACTTTAAGGTAGAAGGGAGCAGAAGGCACACATCTCCTCTGGTGTCTACTCAAAGAGAAGCCAACACACAGAGCCTTCTGCTCCAGGATCTAAATACAGCCCCTGCAGAAGTCGGTGAAGAGAGGAAGAAAATGAGTTATTTTCCTCAAAGTATTGTGCCTATTGTCTCCTTTCTTCCTTCTCATGGTCGCACGTCTGCCTCAGGTGCAGATGAGATAGTGAAGGGTATAGGAGCCATTATGTCATCTTGTGTCACTGGAGATTATCTGTAAAATGGAAGATCACTTTGTGGATTGAGGGCTGAATGACACAAAGAGTTTTTGAGCTAAGGCAACGGTAGGACTTGGTGCTTCCTCTAAGGCTCTTCTACTTGTCCATCTCAGGTGATACTCTTAACGCCATAGCATGACAAGCAGTGTTTTTGTCAGCACACCATCATCCTGACTGTTGCTGAGTGTGTGCAGATGTTAAACAACTGATGGACAGCTCCCCCCATTTGCCCTGCTGGAGGAGTAGCATGAAGGAAGAAAAATGCAATTGCTTTACCGGGAACTGGGTTAGAGTCTTCAAGCCTGCTTGATCAAGGATGGTTAGAATTGACTTTCTGCTTCATTCCCCAGGATGTAGTGTCCTCCTTGGAGCAGCAGTTCACTCCCATGATGCAGGCCGAATTCTCAGTGCTGGTTGATGTGCTGCACAGTCCCGAGTTGCTTTTTCCTGAGGGAAGCGATGCCAGAATAAGATGTGGTGCTTTCATGTCCAAGTAAGTGGTGCAAGGAGGGGCCTTTCTTCAAAAACGATGACAAGGAGTAAAATATTTCAACAGCACTTGCCTCTGATTTTCGACAGTGACTTAAGCATGTAGAAGCCTGAGTTCATACTGAAAGCTTAAACTGAAGTCTTTTGCTAGATGCTTTGTGTTTCTCAGCAATTTAGGAGTAGGGACAGGAATAGAGAGACATTTGCTTGCCCTGTCTGCCTAGAAATTGAATGGTAATAGCTTGTTAAAATTGAGACAGGCTAAACCTACTTCTGTTTTCTTAATGGGCTATTTTTGCTATTAAATTTCTCCACGTTGGCTACAGAAGCTTCGACTTCTCCTGGCAGAATTTTCCAGGAGCGCTCAGCACTGGATTTTTGATAAAGCAAACAAATCTTTTGATTAATAATTTTAAACAGCCGACAGCTCTTTTAAAAATACATTTCACATGCACCCCTACCTGGACTTGAATTATAAGATGTTTTATTTGCACTTTGGGCATTGTAATAAAGTCTCTCAATTTTGCTTTATTAGTCCTCTAGTGAGATGCCCTCCCTGCCCTTGAGAAACTGTAATTTAAACAGAGGTAACTTGAGGGAAATGTACACATTTGGCAACTCTCCCGATTCCTTGGCTTTTGCATATTCTGCAGAGGTAACATTATAGCAATACACTTTATAAATTGGAAAAATCAAGCTAAATTTCAGGCTCCTCCCAACACATCCCCTCTTGTCTAAAGTCCTGTTCAATGTTGGCATTAAATCAAGTCCGAGGCTGCTGGATTTGGCCCATGTAATGAAGTGAGCACTGTTTTCTGTTCTATTTAATTAGCTACCCTTGCAGAATAATACTTTGCAGAGCTGTATACGAGTCTTCAGATATAGATGTTACCGTTTAAACACATTGTTAGTATTGTTGGCCTGAGACCTGCATTGTTTTGGGCCCAGAGCTTGTGAACTCAGTTAACGTGGCAATGGGAAACTCCTGCATGACATTTGCACTGAGCTCAGCATGGTATCAAGACACTAACTTAGCAACCACTCAAATATAATGGATTCTAGCGGGTTGGAGAGGGCTGATCTGGATGGCGCAGTTGGTCCCTCCCAACACTGTTTTTTGGTGACTGCTTTTAGGACTATTAATAATGCCATCTTCTGAATTCAGTGTAAATTCATCTCACTGCCTTTGCTGTATGCTGATCCTAGAACAAAATCAATGAGCACAGTTTTAGCCACCATAAGCCAAGACTGGTACTGAAAGAAACAAACCTCTCCAAGGCCTTCAGATTTCTTCCTTGCTTCTGGTTTTCACAAGTACTGTTTTCACAAGCAGTGCTTTTTTTTTTTTCTGCAGCCATGTGGTGAACCAGTGCAAGGAGTTGGTCTGCAGAGAGGCACCACAGCCTCTTTTGGTGTTTGCTTAGGCTGGCTAAAACCCAAACCCCTTCACAGCCTTAGTTGGATGTGGAAGTATACCTTATTTTCAGACTTTCAGCTATAGAGTTGCTGTATGAACATAGACAATGCCTCATCCAAATATCTATATCTCTGAAAAATTCAGTGTGAAGTTTTAGGAGTGCTTTGGGAATTCTTTTTGCTGGGTTCCATTTGGTAATTATTGAATAAATACATTGTGACCATCATCAAGGTTGGAAGGTGTAAAGGTTGCACCTTTAAAATTTCATGGAGGCATGATGAACATCGTAAGGCAGTTCACTCTAAAGAAAGGAGGAAATCGCAAATTTGGATCTTAATTGGGAAGCCCTCTTAAAAATGGATGTAGAATTCTGCCTTCTGTATGGACAGTAAGATATAAATTGACACCCAAAACTCAGCACCTTGAAAGTGCCATTTCCTTTTACAATGCTGATTTTTCTTGACTTCTTTTATTTCCTTTCCGTGAGTAAAAATACAATGAAGAACAATTTTTACATAAAGAAATTGTTGTATGGCCAAGAGACAACGTGTGGAGCTCTTTAAGGTTTAATATTTTACTTTCAGGTTGATTAATCACACGAAGAAGCTAATGGAGAAAGAAGAGAAGCTCTGTATTAAAATTCTTCAGACATTACGAGAAATGCTCGACAAGAAAACTAACTTTGCGGAAGAGGTACTGCTACATTTTAGTATTACGTATAGAACTAAAAACATGGTTTTAAAAAGATACCTCTAGAATAGCAACAGAATCTGGCATGATGTCAATTTCTTACATGTTTTAAAGGTAACACAGTGGCTGAGAAACAGCGTGGTGAGGCAGAAAGTAAGGTTTAAGCAAAAGAAATGGTCTGCCTTATGTAAATAGTCTTGTATCAGGGACTTCTACCAGAGGCAAGGCGAGGAAGGCTGAAAGAGTTAGTTGCAGCAAGTATTGCTATATGTGGTTATTATATATTGGATATCCTGTATTTCTGGAAAGCAGTCCTTTTACGTCTGACCTCTTCTATCATGTAATCAATCAGAAAGTTAGGGTTTTTTTAGTTGCAGATGCACAGTTTTCTCCTATTGCCTATGGTGACAGGCTCTTGTATTCCATAAACATTTTAATAATGATAAAATGGGTGACAGCTCCATGTTGTGTTTAAACAGAGCTGCCAGTTTGGGGACAAATGACATAGTCTGTGTCTTCTGTGAAGTGTCTGATGTCTTCCTGTGTCTAGGAACACTCTTGCCCTCTTAATATCCTGTTTTGTCTCATAAAACAAAGCGTTTCAAACACACGTTTCATCTCGCCTTCCCCTTTGGTTTTGGTAACTAGTTTCAGATTTACAAGTCAGCTGTCCATTCCTAGAGGTCCTGCCTGATTAAGGATCCCTCTGCCTTCTGTATGGTTTCCTCTTGTTGGTGCTTCTGAATACTCGCAAAATTCTCTCAGTATTAGTCACTCCTCAATAGGAATCAGAGTGCAATTATCCCATCTTTTACTGCCATCGTTTTCATTTGTTCCCAGCTGACATGTTTGGTCAAACATGTTCATGGGGATTATTTTACTTGAGGGAAAATGTCGACTGGAACCTGGCGTCGCACCGTTTCCTTGTCCTCAGCTTTTACACCCAAATATTTCCACATGTCTAAGTAGCAGTGCTCGTTCATTTTACTGTATCTGGCACTATTCAGATACATTAGTTATGGAGTTAGTTATGAAAAAAGTCTTAGGGGATTTGAAGATGCCTGTGCATATTTCTGGATGTTTGAGTTTTTCCTTGCAAAGTTAAAATTTTGGTCCAGTTGACTGAAGTGGTAAGAGAGCAACGCTTGTTTCTCCTTTATGAGAGAGGAACCATATATTAGAAATGTGAAATATTCACAGCGCCTTTGTTTTGACTGCATACTGTTTGTTTTTATTTCAACATATGGACACGGGAACATTTTGCCCAGGCTTCTAAGCAACCTGCTAGACAGGATAAAAAGAAATAAATAAATCTCGGTGCAGAACAGTGATACGAAGACAAAGGCAGCAATTGCGAAACCTCAGCCTTGCTCTGCACGAAAGCAGCCAGTGCACACAGAGCAAACCAGCTCCTCTTCACCGCCCGGCGAGAATCGGGCTCCAAGAAGAATGCAGTCAGGCCTGGGCAGACAGAGGTTATTTTTATGTCATAGGAGGAGTTTCAGAGGTGAAGCAGATGATACTGTTATTACTAGTAATATTACTGATAATAATAATAATTAGTAATTATTATTCTTATAGCTTTCTGGGCCCATGAGCCCCCCTGCATGACATTGAAAAAAATAGTTTTCTTTTTGCATGTTATGAGGAACCATGCCAAACTTTTCTGGAATACCCACATAGACTCACCAAAAAGTCACATCATCCCAGGTCTGCAGAGAAGAAAAAAAAAAGCAAGCAGTCCCCCAAAGCGCTGGTTTTATGCCCTGTTGTGGAGGCCGGTAACCCAGTGGGAAGGAAGCCAGCAGAGGGAGCGTGCCCCACTGCTACATGCAGGCGCTTGGCCCTATCTCCCCTTCCCGGGAATGGACATTTGATGGGATCCTCACTACCAGCATAGTGACCAGGGTCCGGAGGAGTGGGAGAAGGGGCAAGACTCTCTTCTCGTGCTTTCTTTGGCGTGCCAGGAGTGCCATGCGAGGAGCATCTGCATGAGCAGACAAGCCTGTAGGGTTTTGCAAGTGCTTCTCTTGCTTGCTCCTTGTATGAGTCACTGCTCTTGCTACGGACCTCAGGATAGTAAAAATAGCACCATGAATCGCCCGTTGTGTGTCTCCAACTTTCTTTGAACTATGATATCACTACCTGTAATTTTATTCTACTCTTGTTAGAAGGATAATGAAAAAATTAAAGTAAACTCATAATGGTAATACTAGAGGGACATGGGACATTTTTACAGAAATTCTGAATTTGTTAGTCATCCATTATAATGCACCTTCTGATAAATTTGGCAGAAATGGTCAACTTTCCATTTCTGTGAACCTTCCCATAGTGAGAAGCAAAGAAGAAATCATGAAATAAGATTTCTACTTCTCTCTCTGCCCTCTGCTTCCCATGGCCAAGAAGCCCATCAAGACCCTTGCCTTTTACTGCAGCGTCTATCTTCCATTTGGCCTCTGGGAGGTTGCCTGCAGTGGTGCTGGGACAAGGCAGAGCAGACCACGTCAGGCCCATGTTTCGCTGCTCTTTTGTCCTGTTTCCCTTCGGCCCCATGTCCGTTGGCCCAGGTGGACTCAGGGTTGCAGCTCGCGCGGCTGGCACGTCTCGGCTTGCACTGCTCGCTCTCCTGGCCCCATCCTGCTTTGCCCCTGCAACCTCCCTTGGAGGCAGCGTTGGCTTAAACGCAGCGCTTCGCTTAGTGTCGCAGCCTCTAATGGTGTTAGGAATCAAAGTTTAATTTCAGGAGTTTGATTTGAGGTATATAAATGGCATCTAAGGCCTCTTGGTCATTGATTAGCTTTCAGAAGTAATTGTGGGTGATTATTGCGATCTCCCCAGAGTTCCCCCTTGCCTCCTAGCCCTATTTGCATTGATTAGGTAACTAACTGGAATGAAACTTGATATTCTGCCTCGCCCCCAGCGAGCTCTTGCAGAACAGTGTTTCAACATTTGGATCAATCCATGAGTGCAGGAAGCTTGCGTTACCTTTACATCACATTAATGCCCAGGCAGTTGCTATGGCATGGATTCTCTAGGTTGACTCTTTCAGGAAAGAAACGGGAGAGACTGAAATGACTGTTTGAACTAGATCTGCCCTATCTGCGTGTTTGTCCTTTGTTGCAGGTCAGTAGTCCATTCTCATACCTGTTTTACAGGAACAGAGTTATTTGGGCCCAGAATTTTTTAAGTTTTTATGCAAGGTTGTGTTTTGTCCATCTCTGTGGTGCTTAGTTTCATTTTAATTTCTGTGTGGTTTCTGACTCTGCTCCTTCCTCCGCATCTTAGCTTCAGTCTGGAGATCCCTTCCTGTGCGCAGGGAGAGGCGGGCTCTTGATGCGTGTTTATTTTGCAAATGGGATGATTTACATTTTGCCATTTCCTTGCTGCCCACAGTTGGTGGGCCACAAGGGACGAGTGCTCTTGGCTGCTTCAGAGAGAGTCCAGATGCTTAACTTAAACCTCAGTGAATTGAATAAAATTGTTGAGCCAAAGTGTGCTCATATGGTAACATCTTAGCCCGCCCCAGCTGTTGGTTTGTCAGTGCCTTGGGCAGAAACAGCCTTCCAGGTCCCTGGTTGTTCTTAAATGACATGAACTTGTCTGAAAAAAAAGTTACTGTTTTTCATCTTGTCTGCATATGACATAAAACATTATCGACTTATTGAACTCGATAACTCTGGGCATTATAGAATGTGGTAGAATTTGAGCCTGTATCCGGACAAGTAGTTGTTCCTCTGTGAAATGTTGGTATGAATAGGCCAAACATTTCAGTAAGGGTTACTTGTGAACACAAGTGTTTCCCTTTTTCCTGTTTTAGGCGTTGAAGTGCAGTATCAATAATTGAAATTTCAGCTTAAATTTTAAGTGTCAGTAAAGAACCTGCAAGCTGCTTATTAATTCTGTCAGAATTGAATAGTTGGGCCTTCCACCTTTCTGGGAAAAAAACTCCTTTGTCCCACTCTTCTTGCATTTGCACTCACGTCATTGTTTAAAAACTGAAGCTTCGTGGCCTTCTGTTGTGCAATGTTAATATTTCTGTATTTTACTGCAGTTATTTTACTGCAGACCATGTCTCCTCTTTGTTTGCAGCAACAACAGCTCATACACACGTGAAAAAATATTGCAGGTTCTTTTTAAATATATGCCCTTTATTCCCATAAGCTGTAGTCACTGACAGGGCCACTCTTGGCAATTGGCTATTTTGTGCCTGAAGGCTTGAGCCTCTTCATTTTGAGCCAGTGACAAATCCCCAGTTGGTCAAAAGGTTTAGTCCCAGCTCTGCTGGGTGAATGTGCTGATTCACTGTCTGGGTTCAAACCAGGGAGAGATGTAGGTCTTTTTCCTGTGGGAAAAGTGGTCTCAACGTGTCTTAAAAGCCGGGAGATGTTGCTGGGAGCCCTGCCGTGTCCCAGCATTGCAGTTCTTTCAAACAGAGAACTTTTTAGGTTAAATTGCATTCTGTTCTATAACATCAGCCTTTCAAGATGATTTTAGATGTTTGCATGTGTGCATTGGGCAGCATTCCGATACCAAACAAATGTAGGTAAAAATAAATGGGAGGAAAGAATAATAATTCTGAATGTGTGGGGGTCTGCTGAATGCATTATCACTTACAGGGACACATTTTAAGTGGGAGAAAGAAGGGGTTGAAAAATTCCTTTATTTGCATTAGCGGCAATGTGGGCATTCTAAAGAATCGCATATTATTTTTCACCATTTTTGCTGTCTGATTTATCCGTGCTCATTTATAGAAATGACTATGTGCAAGCTTGGTTTTTCCTGTTGTCAGTAGGCTGTTCTCACACATGAAGCTCAGTGTGATTGCAAGATAGTATGGGCACAGAAATACTGCAAGAGAGTGTTTAACTCTTAAGCTAAATGCTGCCTATATTGAAGTGTTTTTTAAAACCACTTGTTCGTTTCCTGCAGTAATGAATATTTTTGCAGCCTCCTGCGTTGCTGCTTATTAAAAACTCTCCCCTAGGAGAGCAGCCGTGGGTCTG